GATTATTTCTTCCACGGTTCAGCATTTTTAACAGCCATGGTGGTCAATACAAGTCAGGACAGCCTGGACAGGGCATCATGTCAGACTGTATTTATACTGGGTTGTAGTTGGGCTTTATTGAGCCATCTAATGGGAGGATCGTATTGGGCTGGGGGTTGGCCCAAATTGGGTCCAGAGCGTATTAATGGTGCAACTTTTCTGTATGCACCTGATGGTGGATTTTTGTAGTTGCTTTGCTGGACAATATTAGGGTGATAGTTGTATGATAGATACCTCCTACTGTTATTGATGAATGTAAGTCCTTACAGTAGATTGAGGAAAGAAAACGAGTAGCTTTACCAAAGCAACGTTTCTTCATTTTTCATATTGTCTATGATTGGCTTTGAGTAGTATCTCATTTACTTCATTTTTTCTTTTTTCTTTTTCTTTTTAGTTGGTTCCTTGCGGGCAAAAGCATGTAGAATGCACGCCACGAAGTCACTCAACGATTCAATCGTAAACAGATACGCGTTAGTTAGCCTATTCACGAAGAAACTGTTACAAGGTTCGAGTTTGACAACAAAATTATTCTTCCAAGAAACTCGTATCACACTGTCCATGCTTTTACACAATGTAATGCTTACTTTACAACATTCTTTACCCCTCATATTTAATCAGACTTTCCCTACAATTTTGCATAATACGGATGGATAAAGAATACGATTATTCAATTTTTTCCTTTCTTATATGTGCCCGACCACAATATATATAGCAAACAAAAAATCAAATTGATAGATGAATTATGCCACAAGTGGGTGCATAGTATATGTAGATGAGGCCATAATGTCAATACTACCCAAACTTGTCCTCTAATTATTGTTATTATTAAGATTCATACGTTGGAATCTGAAATTTGAAGCAAGGTGTTGCTGAGCCTTCTTCACACATAAATTTAAAAAGCGACAAAGTATCTACTTAACGGAAAATAGTGCAAATCCCTGATCAAATTTAATGGGAAGTTGCATTGTCCTACATGTAAAGATTTCATTAAGGTGCATCGGTTTGTACGTTATTATTGGAAAAAAAATTGATAATATATCATTTATGATATTTTTTTATTGTTAAACATATCAACTTTTGAAGATATGATATTAAATTTTTGTAAATATTGTTCAGTGAAAAAAACCCCGTCAATAAAAATTGTCAAGTTTTATATATAAAAACAAATGACATATAAAAATGTAGTAAAATATTATTACATTAAATGTAATGTAGTACTTTTATAATCCATGGTGCACAGTACTGAGTCCTATAGTATAAATGAAGTTATTGAATGTGATCTCATCTGCCTCGTAAATGAACTTAATTGCAGTGAGTAATTAAAAATTTTGACTGGGTCATGTTTTTGATAATCTTGTAGTATGTATATATGGTCCCTAGAACAGGTACCTTCCTTGGCTTGTTTGTGTTGGAGGGCAACCCCACAGAGAAAGGGGAAAGGGCCAAAAAGGAAGAGTGAGAAAAAGACATGGGGTGTGTAAGTGACCTTAACTACATTGATAAAAGTCATATGTGCAGTATTATAAGGCTTTTAAGCTGCTTCCAAGCAATGCAAGAACTCCATATGTGACTCTTTAGCTTTTACAATTATAATTTGCAACGAGTACAACTGCTCTTTTTGTTCCTTCTTTATTGTTCTTTTCTCTTTAACTTGAACCCGGAAAGAACATAAAGATGCACATAGAACAAACGAAAGAAGAAATACAATAAATCAAAAAATAAAAGAGAGAAGATGCTTGTCTGCATCCAATGTTACAACATTTCATCCACTTTGTTTGAAAATTCAGCAAGTTTTTGGACATACGCCTATCCATGTTCTCAATCAATTATTTCTTGAAAATAGATGAATCCAAACATGCAATGCATTTATAACATCTTGAATATGTTTATCTGAATTTGTATGTGGTGCACGCTGCACATGCATTTAAGTAGTGCAAAAATAATTTCTGATTCTGATAGCAGAGTAACTAGAATGGTGTGTTAGGAGTCAGAAGAATCCTAGTGCAATGAATTGAAACCACATAGTAAGTGGCCTTCAACTTAACACACAAGGCCAACAGATTCGGCTCAAACTATCAAACTCCAACTCCATAATTCAGTGGACCCCCATTTGCAATTTCAAGTTGGGGAAAAAGATGTGAAGGTGACTTCAAAACTTGAAACTTGAAAGCACCATATAACACCTGCTACACTACCCATTATTATGGTCCCTGACAAGTGACATAAGCAACTTAATCCCTTCTCACCTTTGCTTAGTAAATATCTACACAAAGATCATCCAAACTGAACATCTCATCACACACGTGAGAAGATATTCTTTGCTGAGGTTAAATCATCCAAAGAAAAAACTCTTATTTTCATCTGTTTGTAGTTTTGTGAAATTCTTAGCATCATCACGGATGGGCCCCATTTGTAAAACCATTAAGTGCCTCACAGATTCATCATCAGCCATGACTCTTTCAGCCCATGTGTGTATAACATCATCATACAACAGTTTAAATGTGCCATTATTTGACCACAATAACCTAGAGCTCAAATCAAATCAAGCCTAGTATTTGCCTTTTGCCACGGCAAAACTCAACCACAAGAATAAAAAATAAATTATAATGTCATTCAATTACAAAAGTTAATTATTTAAAAGTTATACTAATGGTCATTTTTTTTTGTTTATAGTGTAAAACTTTATATAAATTCCATCAATTCGAACACAAAATTTACCACAAGAATCCCAAAGACGGTTTTGGTGAGGAGGAACATGGTCTGGGGTCCTGGGCATCATGTCCTGTTTGGCCTTCCTTATCAAACACTTTGTGTCCTTATCAGTCGTCATCTCCAATTTTATTTTATTCATCAGCCTAGAAAAATTAGTATGGTTGAGACACCAACTTTTGTTGCAATTGATACAAACAAATACAAATTTCTTTAGTTAGAATAACCCTTGACGAAGCGGCCATTTATCATGATCATGAGCCACACATTTGAATGTGGTATGTTTATCATATTCACAACAAAAACACCTTTCATTATCAAAAAATTTATACACTTAACTAATTAAAAATCATCTTTAATACAACTCAATAATTATTATAAATTTATAATCCAATGACAGTCTATAGTATAAATATTATTTATTCTAAAAATAATGTTTAATTTGATTCGATTAGATAAAGAAAATCAGCCCATAGGACGAGTTCAAACCCCCCGTAAGCAAGTACACTCATAATTATTGAGTTAGAGCCATTATATAATTCAGAAATTTATATTAGCAAGGAACTGCAATTAGATAATTGATTGATAAGAAAGAGGGTTTGAATTAATTAATACTGTCTTTGGACAATAGCTGCTATATCCATATCAACTAGTGGAACTAACAAGGTCAAACAAAGCATACTTTAATATTTTATACAACTCTTAGGAAAATCAAACATTTGCAATCACCAAAAGTGGGTCCAATATCATGTGACACATTGTTTCAAATTATACAAACATGAAGTGAGCAAGATATACACTTGACTAGGTATACGGGTAAATACTAAATGATGGTATGGTAGGCCAACAATTGAGGTACTTTATTTGGGGAGTGTGGAAAGTGACCACCATGTCTAACAATAGCTTCTCTCATTTTAGCTAAGTGGTTAAATGGTGATGCCTCTCCTCCAGTTTTCGGTTCCTTCTGTTGGGTCTTCACCCACATTTTTGACTCTCTACATGATCATTCATGTATGTTCAACATGACTTTGTAATCTAATTGGTAAGAATTGTGTTGTGTAGGAATATAATAAGATTATGAAATAAAGATATGGTACATTTATATTTTTCTAATTTCTTTCATAGACTTGGAAAATGGTACAAAAACCTTGTATATTTGCAATTTCCCTATAGTAGAGAAGGTGAACTTGTCCATATAGAAAGAGTTTCAAGGGAATGATGGGTGCTTTTATTTTTGTGAGTCAATGGAAGTTACGTGGATGAATTTTAAATATGTGCCTTCTCATTTCTGTGAAAGTTATTAAATTTAAGAAAGTGCCAAATAAGTTTACTCTGCACACTACATTGACAATCAATCTAAAACAGGGCAGCTAGTTTACATTGATTGATCTG